CCACCTTAGGTGTACGTGGCTAGCGCCTTAGCCGGTTGAGCTATAGGCGCCGAGCCGCTTCTCCATTCTTGTGATGCTTTACTAAGAAGAATGTGTTCCACCTCCACCCAGGTTAATACAAAAGATGTAAAGTCCCCATCTTTTTAAGGCTGACTAGTATTCCATAGTGTACATATACCATAGCTGGTTAATCCATTCCCGGGTTGTTTCCATATTTTGGCAATTATAAATTGAGCTGCAGTAAACAGTCTAGTGCAAATGTCCTTATGATAAAATGGAGAATCATTATTTTAGTCTTTAGTGAATCAATGTGTATGTTGTTGCTGATTAAAATACAGTTCAGTTTGAGCCCCAAGAGTGGCAATGTACTCCTCACACTTCCCGGATGTCTGACTCAATGCCAGAAGAGGTGGCACCTGAGTAGGAAATCTCTGCTGACTTCATTTAGTTCACCAGTGCTCACTCTATTGAGGAACTTAGTTGTCGTTCAAGAGAAGAAACTATGGAAAGGTATGTTTCCTATCACAGGTTCACATTAGTATTTTTAAAAATGGGAATTTAAAACATTTTTTTCTTGGTGCAACTTACACCAAGTAATTATGCAGATTTTTTTTCTGAGTATTGCATGAAATCTACAAAGGCAGGACAGGCAAGTCTTGGGCGTGAAAGTCATTTTATTAATTTATTTATGAATGACACTGGGTTTCACTGGGTCACCCAGGCTTCCCTCCAACTCCTGGGCTCAAGCCTCTTGACTAGCTGGGATTCATAGCAGTCAGCTACCTCATTTATTTGTAATTGTTGTAGTCACAGTCTCTATTCCATTTTATGACTACTGGAGTATTTCCAGGCCTTGTTTTAAACCTAAGAATTGATGTATTGGTTGGGACCATTGGACATTCAAGATGTTTTTTGAGTTCTTTTTTATTTTTATTTTTTTTCTTCTGAGACAGAGCCTCAAGCTGTCACCCTGGGTAGAGTGCTGTGGCATCTCAGCTCACAGCAACCTCCAACTTCTGGGCTTAAGTGATTCTCTTGTCTCAGCCTCCCAAGTAGTTGGGACTACAGGTGCCCACCACAACATCCGGCTATTTTTTGGTTGTAGTTGTCATTGTTGTTTGGCAGGCCGGGGCTGAATTCAAACCCGCCAGCTCTGGTGTATGTGGCTGTTACCTTAGCCACTTGAGCTACAGGCTCTGAGCCATGAATTCTTTTTTAAATCCCATTTTGTACATGTTAAGGCGTGAGCTGGTGCACGTGCGTTTGAGAAAAGATCTCTCCAAAGAGTAGAATAGAAGAAAAAGTTTATTTCATGTAATAATACTGAGCAAATGGCGAAATGTTGCTCTAGCAGTTCAATGAGGAAAGCAAAAGAAAGAACCTTACTCCTGGACTAAGTCTCTCTCCTTTATGTGAAGGCGCTTCCTGCAGCGAGCATCAACACTGCTGCCCCAAAGTCTTGTCTCTTAGCCATGCACCTGGCTTTGCGGTCCAATTTTTTTTTTCTTTTTTTTTTGCCACACTGTGGCTTTCTTTTTGCCATCGTAGATGAACACAATAATAGTCCCTGTTCACGCAGTCACGTGAATATTGTTACAGTGAACACACGGATGGCTTTCTCACTGTTGAGTTACTAATGCCTTCTTAAGGCATTATCCACGGAGAAACCCTTGCACCAGCTGCAGCTGTATGTTGGAAAATAAAGTTTTTTTTTTTTTTTTTTTT